CAGTGCACAAATAGATGGGACATTTACCAGCTCTCCTGTCTCTTTAAATGTCACAAAATAACAGCCAAGGGAAAGCCTATCTGGATCAGGATTGCAGTGCTGGAATGAATGACCTCTTTGCACTATATCCTGGATGTAGACTAGCTACCTTAGGGTTGCCAGCCTCCAGTTGGGGCCTGGAGATCTCCCGCGTTTATAACTGATCTCCAGCTGACAGAGATCGGCTCTCCTGGAGAAAATGGCTGCTTTGAAGGGTGGACTCTATGGCATTGTACCATGCCGAGGCCACTCCCCTCCCCAAACCCCGCCCTCTCCTGGAGGTTCATAACCAACTAACTAACTAGTATTATGCCCCACTGCAGTTCTTCCCTTCCCCAAATCCCACCCTCCCCCAGGCTGAACCCGCAAAATCTCCAACCCAGAGCTGGCAACCCTACTTGGACGTGCTATTTGGTAGGACAGGGAACACAGCCTCCTAAGGATTTACGTGAATTTTGAGTTCACAAAACCCTGGAATGGCCTCATGATCTAGCCATAAAGGTTTACGCAGGGCTGCTATTTTCGGGCAGGAACGCACAGGAATGGAGTTCTGGCTGGCTTCAGAGTCGGCCACGCCCACTAAAGTCAAAACCTCTGCATGCGTGGCTACAGAAGGAAGGCCTGGAGAGCGTCACCTCTCCTGGCGACTCCGAGGCGGGCGGGCCAGGGGGGCTCTTGGAAGGAATGCGGAAGCATTTAAATGCCTCCCCGTGCCTTCTCCGGCCTGTCCAAGGGCCAGCTTGCCTGGGCACCCTGCAGCCACGGGGTGCCCCGGCAAGCCAAGGGAAGGCATGGGGTGTGGCCTAATATGCTAATGAGTTTCTTTTGTTGGGTGTGGCCTATTATGCTAATGAGTTCTTGCTGTGCTTTTTCTACAAAAAAAGCCCTGGGTTTATGATTGCAATCCCAGCAACACTTTCCTAGGAGTAAGTCCCACTGAATAGCTTCTGAGGTGAAGTAGCAGCAGAGCCAAGTTTGCTAGTTAGGGTCATTAAGGAGGCAGTTAGACTGCAGAAAAGCAATCCTGCATGTATCTATAATATTTAAGTGTTTTTACTGCACTCTTGTATTATCACACTACTTTTCAATGGCACAGCAGCACATTTTTTTCCTCCCTCTATCTGGCCTGGACATAACTATTATTTTGTTTCCAACCTAAACAACATTTTCAGGGAGTATCCACTACATCCACATATTTAAACAGATGGGAGAACAGATCCAATTTTGTAGGCAATTAAAGCCAAAACACATCTCTAGCCATGACTTCTTTGTTTGGATGATATTCTCAGAGAATGTACCACACATTCTTACCAAATTGCAGAAAGGTAGGAGAAAAGCACAAGGTTTGATAGGCAATCGAAAGCAAGACACATACCAGATATAAAAGCTCTGTATTGATAATCAGTTAAATGTTCCTGCATGCCAGTTTCATACCACTTGATCACTCCTTACTCTCTTCTTCTGCCTCTGACCCCACATACCAATAATAAAAGATGTTTTACTTTATTCTTAATTTAAATTAAGAGGCATAACAATTAAATCTTAAGTCTCAAATAGTATGCAGCATCCTATAAGGATTCAAGTTCAAATCATACACTGTTGACACAAAATCTAACCACTACACCACACTGTATATCCCATTGATGTGTTCAGTGTTGTACATCCAACCTGTGGAACAAAAGACTGGGGCTAAAAGAACAAAGGACAGTGTAACTGTACTGAACCTAAACTGTCAGTGGCTATGAAATGTTAGATTATCCAGTCTCTTTACTGCTCACATGATATGGAAATTAAGGTAGCAGTCATGCTTTTTGGAGGTGAGTGGATTTGCAAGTCCTTCTCTTAAAATGAAGGTTTTGGGGTTTTTTTAGAGTGATACCAATTTGTCAAGGAAACGCAAGGTTAGACCTGTGGGCTCCCAGGGCAGGTGCACACAAGAACCAGACTGTTGTTTATTTAAAAAATGTTAAATTCAAAGATATTAATAAAAAGGTTATTGCTAACACATTACTTAGCAATCATATAGAACAGAAAATAACAAAGCTAGCTTCAGCCACCTAACACTGTACAGAGCTTCATTAGGTGGCACCGACCTTAATTTTGTTAGAAAGGCCTCAAATAGCATTGCCTACGTTTCTAGCAATTGTAGGACATAGCCTTGGCCCATAGTCCATGAAGATCTCAGCTAGCTTCTCCCCTCCTAGGACACAGTTCAAGTTATAATTTTTTGGCCCACAGTCAGATGATGATGGCATCCAATCAGAATGGGTCTCCAAGAGAAACCTCTAGAAATGAATTCCATTACCTCTCACAGTCTCCCCTCCTCCCTATCATTAATTACCCAGCTTCCATCTTTGGCCTTGAAGATGATAAGAAGCTTGCAGGCAAAAAAATAGCAACACCTGCAAGTCAGTACAGGCCCATCACCATTCACATTAACCCTTGAGGGGATGGTGGGGAAGGTGCTTTGCTTCACAACCATTGTTCCTGAAGAAAATTGTTAGATTGGTTTTTTCATGATTCTTGTTAACATGAATGTGTGGTTCCTGCCTTCTAAGACAGAGGTGTCGAACTCATTTGTTCTGAGGGCTGGATCTGACATAAATGTCACTTTGTCGGGCCAGGCCATGCGTGCCATAAAATGTAATGCCAGATACTGGAGATATAAACTGTATAAAGGATAGCAGCTGGTAAGCTCTGTTGTATTCTCACTGCAAGGCCCCATGGGCTGGGAGGGGGTGCAAAGGAAAACCCATATGGGTGGACTGGAGAGCCAGCGGTGCAGCACTTGGTGGATGCTCCCATGCTGCTTGACTGTGGCAGATGAGGTTGTTCCACTGTGCTGAGGCCACGATCAGAGTGGCTCCACCTATTCCCCCTCGAGTAGTCTCCTGTCCCTCTCTTGCACTAGTTGCTCACGGGCCGCATAAGAGCCCTGGAGGGGCCGCTTCTGGCCCCCGGGCCCTATGTTTGACATCCCTGTTCTAAGATAATCTTTCATGTAAACTGGCATAGACAGCACTATGCTCTGTGGTCCAGTGTAATGATCTGTTACATTGCCTCTCCTAGATTAAAAACAGAAAAGTCTGCTTCATAATGTCAAGTCCATGCCAGGTACACAACTTTGTAACACCATCCCCCAATACACCAACCCAATGAGCCACTTTCCCCCCCAGTAGTAGAGATCTCCAGGAAGGGATCCGGCTCAGAGCATCTAATTGGCATGCAGACAGTCCCAGGTACAATCCCTAAAATCTCAAATTAAAAGGATCAGGTAGCAGGTGATGTGAAAGATCTTGACCTGAGACCCTGGGGAGCTGCTGCCAGGAAGAGTAGACTGTAGTGTATTCAACTCCTTGTATGTAAACTCACACATTCATACGCCATGTAAAGCTTCGTCCTGGGCAAGGATCCTAATCCCTCCAATCCCATTGGTAGCCCAGGAAGAACCATCCAATCACCTACCATCCAGTTCCATGAGAGGGACCGCTTGTGATTGGACTTTATTGTTACAACCTGATTGGTTGTTATTGTATAATAGGGCGTGGCTATATTAGCCGGGAGAGTTTAAAAGAAGAACAGCTTCAGTGCTAAAGCTGTTCTGGCTATTCGAGTTGATCTGTTGGAGTTGTGTTACGAGTTGCTGAATAAAGCTGATCTTTTGCTGAATCACTGTCTGACTCCTTTGTTAAGTAGCCGACTTATCATAGACAATACTGACTTCAACAGATCAAGGATCTCAGACAGCTTAATAGGTTCACATGATCTTAGGAATGGCTGCTAACTGCCCCTTGTATAGACAGCCTGTTGCTCACCAACCTTCTCTGTGCAGTTGTATATATTAGATCGCAAGGAGGAATTTGATAGCATGATTCACTCCTCTGAGTCTTCTATTAAGAGCTGCCCAAAGGGAATTCCTGAAAAGGAGTGGTGGTGATCTAATGCTGTAAACTGAAGAAGACCATTTCCAAAATGCAGTGGTTATGATGACCATTCAGAATGTACTCTTTATAATCATGTCAAAGTTGTAAGCAGAAAAACAGAATTACACTGGAAACAACAAGAACTAAGATACAGTTTGTTTGTTCTTAAGATCTGTGTCCAGTTTAATTTCAAATATCCTCTTGTTAACCCACATAAATTCTAGTTAAACCAGGCTTCCTTATAAGGAGTCAGCTGGCCATCAAGGGATCCTTAACTACACACAGCTGAATACAGCTTGAGGAAGAGAAACTGCAGTGAAAATCTAATACATTTTGAAAAACACTGCTAAAAGACTCTCCGTTCTGGAGCCAGAGAATGCATCAGTTCCTTGCTGTAACTGATAACAGAGAGCTTGGAATGAACTGAAAAAGGGACCTGCCTGTTGAGCGTGTTCTCAGGTCCATTTTGTGACCTCAGAGGGCAGAGTAGCACTTGGCAGGAAAAGCAGGGTGTATTCATCGCACAAGTTTGCTGTATGTCTATATATTTTGTGATCCTGTACATTAGCAAAACTGTTGTCAATGTAGCAGAGATCTGAGACCCTATTTTCCAGTGTCTAAAGCATTAGAGGAGTGCAAGAAGATGAAGGGAAAAGGCTACATCTTGTTTTCCTCACCAATAAGTTTTATGCCTCACATGGATGCTTTGCTTTCTGCCCTGCTTTCCCTCCCTCCAGTAGGCAGAAAAGCAAGCAAACTGTGGGAAAGTACCCCCAAAAGCCTGTGGGGGAGGAGGAGGGAAATGTGACACAGGAAGGAGACTCTATAAAAAGAGGAAGAATGAAATTGAGAAAGAAGAAGAAAAAATTGAAGGGAGCAAATGAGGAGGGTCAAGTTTAGGCACAGGCAAATCTGCTGCCTTCTTGCTCTCTGTTGAGCTGGGCAGGCTGGGAAAGACAGTATGTTTAGATTCATGTCTAAATTTAAACCCTGATTGCTTTTGCCTCTCCCCACCCTCTCTTCCTCTCCCCTCCCTCCCCTCCTTTCCTTGTTCTCTAGTGCAGGCCTCTTAGGACTGACAGTTTTTAAGCTGAGCAGGGACTTGGATATTAAACTCTCTCAAGCAGCTTTCCCCCCCTTGTCTCCCTCAGAGCCTTTTGAGTCTGCAGACAGAAGAGGGACAGGGGAAAGAGGAAGGGGATGGGGGAACAAATATTACCCAAGGACATCCCACACCTGCATAGCAGAGAGGTAAAGAACCTTCTCCTCTCTTTCTCTCTCTTTAGTTCTCTCTGTGCTGTTTTGCAATGTGGCTCGAACAGATGTGGCTAAAGTTGAACTACTCAGATAATTGGAATTGAGTAGACAGCCCTGCATGTGTTTGCTCTCTAGGTAATGTTTAATAATCTGTGCAGGGTTTGGGGTTTGTTTTGGTAACTTTACGACAATGTGCCGTGTTCTTCTCCCTCTCCTCGTAGAATTAGAAATCTCATTTTGAGTTAATTGTGTTTGGCTAAGGGAGACTGTGAGTGCCCAAGACAGTGCTGAAGTTCATTCTGATGTTCATTTTTGAACTGGGTGCTAAAAATGGAATTTCCTAACTTTTGTGAAAATTGAGACTAACGAGAGAAAATTTAGCCATTCAGTTTCCACGTTGGAGGGCACACTGAAGTTGCTGCTAAGGGATAAACGTCTTTCCCGGACTGGAATGTGATAGCTACAAGGACTGATACGGTGGATCTGACCCTGGTTTCCCATTACTTGCTTATAGGCCTTGCAAGTTGTTCCTGGCAAGCCTCTTGTGCCTTTCATCACTATCTGAAATTCAACAGGTGAAGCTTTTCTTCACTTGAAGATATAGTTAGGGTGAGTGCTTCACATGCTGAATTTCTGCCTGCTGTACAGATTTTAGAGGCACAGCAACCTCATGGGTGCAGGGATTGTCTTAGAAATCTGTGTGACTTCTCTACTCTGACATTTTTAGATTTTGTCCATGATGCAGAGTAAGTTTGGTTTATTTAATTCTGTTATTTCAATAGGCTTTAATTGAGCTTAACTTTTGCTGCATGACCCCTCCTGTATTCAGTGCTTTCTCCTCTTGTATTCAGTGCTTTCTCAGCAATTAGGACAGATTTTTAGGTGAAAAGAGCAGGAAGTCAGCCCAAAGAGAGGGGATCCCTTATCTCAAGATCTTGGAGTGCAGGTAAATTTACACAGAAGACATGCTCGGCAGGTTACTTAAAATACATAAGGTAGAAGAACATGTTTGATCTTCATGACTTCATAGTATCCAACTGAGGCAACAGATCTTCCTTGACGATTTAAGAGCAGCTCTCAGGGTTCACCATTGATTTGGTGTGACATAAATGCTTGTGCTCTCAGGGTTCACCATTGATTTGGTGTGCCATAAATGCTTGTGTGTCATGCAGTGTCTCACAGCCTACCTCAGTGTTTTATTTGTGTTGCAGGACTAGTACAGTTCCCAGCAGTCAAAACATAATATTTTGTACCTTGGAAAATGTGATTCTGCTCCCCATACTGGGCATTAATTGATGTTATGCCTCCAGTGGAGACCGTAGTTGTGTGAGTACTTGTGATACAACTAATGATTAGTGACTGAAGCAAACCTCCATTCCTGCACACTGTTTTGTGCCTTTTTAACTCCAGCAATGGAACTTTTGTCTACCAATAGGATTCCCAGCTCCAGGTTGGGAAATACCTGGAGATTTGGGGTGGAGCCTCTGGAGGGCAGGGTTTGGCGAGGGGAGGGGAGGGACTTCAATGAGGTATAATGCCATAGAGTCCACCATCCAAAATGGTCATTTTCTCCAGGTCAACTGGTCTCTGTTGTCTGGAAATCAGTTGTGATCCTAGGGCGATCTCTAGCCACCACCTGGAGGTTGGCAACCCAGTCTACCATTTTTTTTTAGCTTAATAGCAAGGCTGCCTTCCTCGGCATCTGTGCCAATGTACCACTATTTTTAAGCCTTTGTCTAGTCTGTTTTTAATTCTGTGGAGATAGGGTTGCAAACTGATGGAGAAAACATGTCTGTCCTTTTAATAGAGGCTTAATGGATTGATATTTATCTCTGTGCCATGGAAAGCTTCAGCTGTCCCTTTCCACATGTTAGGCCTCTGTTAAAAGGACAGGACATTTTTTTCTCCAGGCTTGTTGGTAACCCTATGTGGAGAGGCTGTGCTGTGTACTTTCTGAGGCAGACTGTACATGTAGCCAATGGTTTTGAAAAGAGAAGATATTAACAGCTAGCCAGCTTGCTTTGTCCAGTGTGTACAGGCAGGCAAAATACTGTACTATGGCCCTTGAAAGGGGACTCTGATTATCGCTGCCATGCAAGCGGGGCCTTTTTTGATTGATTTCTAAACAAGGACTCTTTGTCGGCTATCATATCCTAAAAGGGAAAAGAACAGAAAGGTATGGCAAGAAGTTAACTAACTTGGCTGCCAAACAAAAGATGGTTGCCCCCATGAAGATTAACACATCAGGATGAGCAATCATTTTAGGAGAGAATAGCTATAAATTCAATTGATTGTGCTTATCCTTAAAAAAACCTGTCTCAAATTTTTGTCAGGGTTATTTTTCATTGCATGGATACCTGCTCCTTAGGTGTAGATTTTCTTATAGGAAACACTAAACACTAAAGATAGTGCCTATCTAAGCTAAGAAGTATTCTGTGAAGTCCAAGCCCTGGTGCTGTAGAGGGAAGCAGAAAATCAGATCATAAGACGTTAATTCCTGTGTCACATGAAGAAATTGGCTAATGGCTTACATATAAACAATGGGTCATTTTTAGGCTGTCAGAGTAGCACCGTTGTTCAAATTGCCTTTTCCTGTCTTGTGGGTAGTTTCATCTGTATGTAACCGATTAGCTTGTGGATAGTAAAAAAGTATGTGTTACAGTATTTTAGCTTAATGTTACTTGTTTCTTATTTTGCCTCGGTTTCACCAGGGATTGTACGCCTGGTAGTAATTCATTTCCCTTGTCCTTCCCAGACATTTTGCTATAGTTACATTGGGCATTTTTGGCATTACTTATATTTAAGCAGCTCATGTGCTGTTATTCTGAGGTACAGCTTTGTAGAGTTGTCAAATGCCTGGGGGAAATGCCTTGTCCCTTTAATTGAGGTGTAATGGGATGTTAATTACCAGATGATATTGTTGACCTCCATTCCAAGGAAAAACTTCAGCTGCCCATTTCCACGCATTAGGCCTCTGTGAAAGGAAACAGGACATTTTCTCCAAGACTGTTGGCAACCATAGAATCTAGAACTATGTATTTGAAGAAAATCTCAATTTTGTTTTAAAAAGACATTTTAATGATCATGGTTACATAATGGTGAAAATGAAACACAAGTAGAAGTGGCAGGCAAGCCAATAATATACCCAGTATTTCATCTTGTGACTGACAAGGGTAAAAGGGTACATTTGACAGCAGTGAAGTAAGTTTCATAAATCAGACTTCAGATGAAGTTGGCGTGGGGGCTATGATTAAGAATCAGGGGCTCTTCTCTTCAACTTCCATTCCATCTCAATTGTCATACTCACCAATGTTTCTAAACTAAGGAACGTTTTGATCGGTAAGCAGGGGTCATTTCGTAGAAAAAGAGGTGCAGGAGCTCATTAGCACGATTCATTAGCATACCTTATTTGCATATACCACACCCCCTGTCCAGGGGGGGGGCTCTGCGGCTTACCTGGCTGCTGGGAGCAAGGGGTGGGGCTTGTTGCATGTGCCCGCCCCCTGGGCTCTTTACTGCCGGAGCTCCGCTCCTGTGCGCTCCTCCAGGAAATGACCCCTGTCGGTAAGTATTAGAGTTCTGGGCAGTGCAGCCTTGGGAGTGGGAAGTTTCTCTTAGATAACAGGCATAAGTGACAACAGACAAAACAGGTCAGAGGACTTATTGGCCTGTACAACTTTGCCAGGTGCCATGGTAAAATATATGTGTTTGTGTGTGTCCCCCTTTGAAAACCCTGGTTGATGCCTTCATGCAACAGGAAAGAGACAGTTCTGCATCTTTCTCTGCCATCTACCTTAATTTAGTTTTCATATGGTTGGATATGGTTAGGCATGCAGCACTGAGTTGATACATCCCAAAATCAACATTAGAGAAATGTGGGGTGTGTGTGTGCAAATGTTCTCCACAGATTGCTGATAGGTAGCTGTCAGCCATCCCTCTTGTTTCCCGGTAACGTATACAGGAAAGAAGATATAGTTGATGCGCTCTTGCTTGTTGCGATTGTACTGATACAATTTGGTTTAATAGAAATTCCTACAGTAGGCCAGATCGATGGTCCATCCAACCCACTATCCTGTCGTTTCTCAGAGTGTTGGCCAATTGTTGTTGCAAGATATAAGACAAGGAGGGCAGGATACTGCACAATGTTAACGGGTCTTTTTGAATCATATCTCTCTACCAAATACCAAAATTGGTAGCAAGTTTTGGGCTTATATTTTCTGTGATAGGATGGGCCCCAGAAGCGAGGAAAACCCAGAATGATGTGACTGCTTCATTTTTTCTCTTTGTTGACTTCCAAACTGTTGGGGGAGGGTTGGGGGGGGGACGGGGCTTCTGCGTAACAGTGCTCTGTGATTGCCCTGCGTTTGCTCTGTCCTCAATACATTTTCTCTCAAATCTACTTTAATCTGATCTGTTTGGAATGGATGCAGCAGAAACAAGCTAGCATGCTATTCTGGAAGACAAGGTGTGCATTTTCCTGTCTTGCAAATGTCCCACCTACATCAGCATAATTTTTCTACTGTCATCCCTTCTGGGTGCCATGTTCCCAGTATTTTTTCCTGCTGTACCAACAAAGAGATTTTTGTGGCTTTATTTTGAAATAAGTAATTGCTATAGTTATAGAACCCTAAATATTGGTTGCCACTTTTCTTTTTTAAAGTGGTATAGCCCTGTAGCACTTGCATGAAGGAAAGAATAAAAAGAGGGGCAGTGAGTCGCCACAGCAGCAGTGATGACCACAACCTCACAAACTAACTTGCAGAGAGGAGCGTGCATGGAAATGATGAGTTAGGAAAATGATAGAGGGAATCATAGAATCACAAGAGTTGGAAGGGATCTCCAGGGTCATCTAGTCCAACCCCCTGCACAAGGCAGGAAATTCACAAATACCTCTCCCTCCACACCTGCAGTGACCGCTGTTCCATGCCCAGAAGATGACAGAAAACCTCCAGGATACCTGGTCAAACCGGCCTGGAGAAAAATTGCTTCCTGCC